CCTAAACCCTTGCAACCCTAAACCCTAAACCCTTGCAACCCTTGCAACCCTTGCAAACCTAAACCCTAAACTTGCAAGCCTAAACCCTAAACCCCTGCCAGGCGGGTCCATCCAGAGCGCTTTCACCCGCGGCCAGCCGCCAGCCTCGGCCTCAGCGGCTCGGCGCCTGCCCACAAATAAGGACCCCTTGTAGGGTTGAGGGTTTGGGGGTTTAGGGGTTTGGTGGATTAGGGGTTTAGGGGTTTAGGGTTTAGGGGAAAGGACCCTTGACTGGGTTCTTGTAAGAGGACTTAAGTTTTAAGCTACCATAATAAGGAGACCACAGTATTTACTATAGAACCCTATTATGGTAGCTTAAATGGAATCTTTTAACAAGAACCCAGTTGAAGAGTAGAAAACAAGGTATACTACAGGGTACTACAATAGGGTCCCCCCTTAAAGGGTACTACAGGGTACTTTCGTAAGGACCCCTAAAGAAGGGTACGCAGAGAGCCCAATACCCCTTAATTCAGGAATATACCTTAAATCATAATATTAAGGCCCCTGTAGTTTAAGGTATATTCCTTAATTGAGGGGTATTGGGGACTCTGTAGAAAACAAGGTACTACAGGCTACTACAATAGGGTCCCCCCTTAAAGGTGGTATAGGACACTATAACAGGGTCCCCCCCTTAAAGGGTACTATAGGATCCACACCTGTTAGGATTTTTGCAGGGGGTACGTCCATTGAAGGGTCCTTCTTTTTGTAAGGATCCTGCCGTCTAGAGTTCCAGCTAGTCAGGATCCTACCATTCGGGGGCGTTTAGGATTTCTATTGGGGGCCAAAGGAGGGCTTGGAGTTTGAGTTTGGGGTCGGGGCTTTCGAAACTAGAGGTTGTGACCTAGAGACCTACTTGAGCTGAGTCCTCTGTGGACGTCTCGGGAAGCATTGGTTTCAGCTTCTTCTGAGGTCGAGGTTGCTCCAAATTTCAGGCTTCTGGGTCTTAGCTTTCGGCGCTGGTGGAGTTCGAACCCCGCGAGCTCGGGGCCACTCCTCCAGCTCAGGGTCTCGGCCAAGCTGTGGAGCGTAGGCGACTCTAAGCTGCGGCCGATCCAGCGACGCGCATCCAAAGTCACCTTCTAGGGTCCAGAAAACAGGAATGAACCACAGTACTCTGATTTTTTTTTTAGTATAGGGTCCGCTGTATAAAGGGGAGGAACTTAGTCTTAGTTGTGACATCCATATCTTTATTGGCCATCTTGTTGGGCTCGCTCACCGTGGCATTCTGGCAAGTGGCCACGAAGCTCACCGTGCAGCTTTTGGAAAGCGCAGCTGCTGCCGCGGGTAGCCTGCATCAGATCAGTGGAGCACCCACGCGCAATGTTTGAGTTTAGCCCTGCAGCCTCAGTTGCTGAAATGGCTTAGTATGGCTATCAGGAAATTTTGGGCGGCATCAAAATCGTCCATGTACAATTTCTAGTTGTCAAATCTTTAGCTAATAGCTAGGACTGCTGCTGTCCATTGCCGCAACAGTCACCACTGATGCTGTTGCTGTCAGTATGTTTCACGCCCGTGCATCTTTGCGGTTTGCCACGGCAGATTGCACGACAGCCTGTGCTGTTTGGCTTGCTGCTGCCAAAGCCCTGAACGCCAAAGAGCCCGAAAACCAGCGCATGTCCAACGGACTGAGTTTCATGCGGCTGAATCCACCCGCAAACAAACAGACTTGCACAAGGAAGATCTTCGTCGGCGCCTATGCTCCAACGCCTCAGGTACCTCCGACATCGCCGCACGCAATCGCTGCAGCAAGACCTCTGCCTGCCGAGCCCAGCCCTCTCTCTCTGAGGCATCCCGAAACTACACATTGTTTGCATCATGGCACAAGGCCTGTTCGCGGCAGCGAACGCTGCTAGAACGAACGAGAACTCCGCCAATCTGGCAACGAGCCTGCAGATACCGTGCTCAAGGCATCCCTGCTCTGTGGCTGCCAGCGCTGGAAGAGATTCCCAAGTCCGAGCAACCCTGTGATGCTGAGCAGAGGCCCTTCTGGATGTCCAGACCGAACCTCCGCAGCACAAGGCACAGCAAGACCAAGTGAGCCCAGCGCAGCCGAAGCCTGGCTTGACCGATGGCTTTACCTGGGGACAGGCCACTCTCCACTTCAACCCGCACAAGACGCCACCTCCCCTCCCCGCGGCGTTTTTTTCGAGGTCCGCACGGCACTGGCCTTGGCTGCCGGGCCTCTGCTCGAGCCCGCTTAATAACCGGTGCCCTTCTCCCTTGGGCCCTCTGGGGGGTTTTAAATTTTAACCCTCATCCCCGACCTCTTTCCTTAACCGTCCCCTTTCTTTCCAACTCCTGACCCCGACACTTGATCCTGCGCCCGCACCCTTGTCATCCCTTGTCCCAGTCGTCCCTTAACCTCATGCACAACCGGGATCCTGGCCGACGTGCCGAAGCTGATGCTTCTTCGTGCCCTGCACAGCAGACGATCGCTGCTCCATGCTCAAGCAAGAATATACATACCTCTGCTTGCCTTCGCTGGAGAGGGCTGAAACTCGACGTGTTGCAGCGCAGCCGTTGCTTGGCGAGTCAGGCACGGTGGAACAGTGCCGTGCAATCGGCCTATCTAGAGTGTCTCTACTTGCAGTCTGTACAGAAGAATACTCACCTCTCCAGGCATGCTCAGGTGCACGCATCTAAATACAACCAACCTGGACTCGATATCTTAACGAGTCCTTGGCTTGCGTTCATCATGTACGAATTACAAGGCCGCTTCCTCTAGATAGAGAGCGCCTAAGCAGATTATTTTTTCTTCACTGGCTTCAAGACCTTGAACGAGCACATCAACGTCTCGTCGACCGTCATCACCGCACCCGCGTTGTCAAACTCACCACAATAGTTGGGAGCAGAGAAAATCGTGATCAACTGTCGTTTCGCGAAGAACTCATAGCCATCCTCCACCACCTGATGTGCTCGAACCACCAAGTCGAGATCATGCTGGCGGAGGAACCCAGCGACGACATCAGGACCGAAGGTGAAGGAGACGCCACGGTCGTTTTCGGCCCAGCCTTTGAGGTCTGCTTGGGGATCTGCCCACAAGAAGTCACAAACCATTCCTGTGTCCGGAACGTCTGTCGGTCGGGCGATCCTGTTGATCTGCCTGAGGTCCGTGAGTTCCGGAGAAAGTCCCCCGTGGACACAGAAGATCTTTTCATCGATCAGAGCCGCGAAGGGGAGTGTGTTGAATACTTCACAAAACAGCTTCCACATCTTGATGTTGTACCGCCTCTTGCAATCGTCGTAGAAGCCATAGATGCGGGTGATGGAGGCACATTCGTGATTACCCCTCAGCATGAAGAAGTTCTCGGGATGCTTGATCTTGTAAACCAAAAGCAAGATGATCACCTCCAAGGACTGCTTTCCGCGATCGACGTAGTCTCCCAAAAAGAGGTAGTTGGTGTTGGGTGGGAAGCCCGTGTACTCGAAGAGTCGCAGGAGGTCGGCGTACTGACCATGGACGTCGCCCACAATCGACAGCGGGGCCTCAAGCTCAAGTAAGCAGTTCTGAGCCAGGAAGGTCTCCTTCGCCACATTGCAGATTGACCTCACCTCGGATTCTGTGGGCAATTTCACCTTCGCTGTGGGCCCGTGGCCTTTGCCCTCCAACATGTAAGCAATGATGTCATCCAACTCCTTCTCCCCTAGGGGAGCCTGCTCCTGTTTGAGCATTGCTGCTCTTTTCTTCGCCTACAGAGAACAAGCAGCAACTTGAGCCGGCTGCGAAGCGTGAAGCCCGTTCCCCGCGACCCACTCACTCCTCTCACCAGTTGCATACGTTCTTCATGCATGGACGGACCCTCAGAATTTAGGCGGCCAACCGTCGCAATCACCTGTTAAGGCGCGACAAAGCCTCCACGAACTCAATCAGCTCGTGACGCAGCTGCTTGGACAGACCTGCTCAGACGGCCGAAACTTGCCCAGAGCACGGCTCCGCCCAGAAGCGAAGATCTGAAAAAAATCCGCTGCTCGAAATGCCTTCTATGGCTGTCCGGCGCCATCCTTTTGGCAGGACCTCCCAAAGCTATGCACCACGGCAAGCCTTTGCAGAATGCAACGGGAGAAACCCACTTTTATCCAGGCCTCCAGGATGCTGTGAAGTCTTGCCAAGGCTTCATTCAAGTTGCTCGGCATCCGCCTGCTCAGACAGACCCGCACACAAAGAGAGAAAGAGCGAGCGGGTCCAGAACGGGAAAGCCGGGTCCGGGATGTGTTTGCGCACTCGCCCGCCCGACCCTACCTAGTCCCTAAACCCTCTATGTGCATCTAGACGCCCCGATCCAGAAATGCTAAACATGTAGATCACAAAGCCAAACTAAGCCCTGACGCCATGGCGCCAACACGGCCTGGGCCCCGGCTTGCCGGGCTCGCGCTCGGGAGCAATGTCGGTGAATCCTCCAAGTAATCACTGCACCGGATCTGAAAGGCATCTAGATGAAAGCGATGGGAGGTCTAGGTTTCTATAGGCTTCGTTCGTCTGGGGGGTTTAGGGGCTTTGGGGCCCTAGGAGCTTGAAGGGCGTGGGTTTTTCAGGGATAGAAGAAGGGAAACCTAGGATTTATCAGGGGGCTTGGGGCCTCCGGGGTCTAGGGTTTTCAATCTGTTGCTGTTCCACTACCTTTGCAAGTCCACAAACCACCGGAAACTCACGTGCCTTCACCTTCCAGCTGTGTTCTGGGCGTCTCCATGGCCTGCAGGGACAGCAAACCCGGGAGACGGCGAAAGCTCGCAGCTTTTGAGAGCTGGCTTGGTCCTAACAGTAGAAGGCGCCCTCCTCCCTTTCAAAGGCCCTGTCTTCGTTCACCTCTTCGGGCCGATGGAGCGAAACGCCGGGTTGACGTTGGTGTCGCCTCGGACCAGGGGAGTCTCAGAGACAAGGCCTGTGGTCGCCCGGAATTCCCGTAAAGGCTGGGGTCCCGTCCGTGGTAGCGAAGGGATCTAATCCCTATCGCCTGGGCACAACCACAAGACGAACAAACCCGTACTTCGAGACAAACGACCATTAGGCCCACTGAGGTGAGGGCTATCACGATCACTATCATCGTCAACTGAGTCCACTCTGAAGCCGCGCAGCTCCAGGACCACGATGGGACTTGGCCCCAGACTATCAGGATCACTATCGCTATCTCGGTTCAGGCCTCAGGGAATCTCAACAGTCCGTCCCACCACTGCCAGAGACGGAGTTGCTGGGACCAAAGTGCCAGGCAGAGGTAGCTGTGGGGCGGGAGCTGGATCATGAAGAGGACCTGCGCGACAGGCTGCGTAATCGAGTTCGGGATGGTCATGCATTGCACACGGACCTGGGAGATCTGAGTAGCAGATGTCATGTCTGATGGATGTCTGGAGGACACAGCCTTAGCGTTTTCGCCGGCTGCATCCAGCCGACCCTGCAAAGTGACAACGACTTTCCTTGGCCCTGCGCCTCTGGGGAAGTCGTGGCCGGCAAGGCCTGCGGTCAGAGAGCTCTTGTAGGGCGTTTGCCGGTCGTGATCAGCACTCGCTCATTTTGAACATGGCACAGGCGGTCGGCGGTGCTTGGTGAGTGGACAATGGCCAACGGGCCGACCAAAGAACCCCTCATGAGGTGAAGCGGACACCTGCTTTATCATCCATCTATACCCTGTCTTAACACACCAACAAAGTTTGCAAAGCTTGCACAGTCACCTGAACCAAGACTGCAAAGTAGCTTGAGGCTTCGACGTTCTATCCGCGCAAGCATGCGGTGCTTTATTATCCCACCATCGCTTTGACAGCGCGGTGTGCAATAAGTCCGCTTTGGTTTGCAGGTCAAACAACACTTCACCTCGTCGCAGACCTGAAACCCTACCAACCCGAGCAAGCTAAGCCCCTCTAAACCCTCCTCAAACCACGCAACCTTCTGTATTAAATTAAACAGCTTCCGAGACTGGAAAACACTGGGTGCCTGTGGTGCCGAGGCGGCAGCAATTTGCAGGGGGCAAGCTGATTTGGGCCAAAAGTGAGACAGCACACCATTGACTGCCTGGTAGAGCACTATGTATACATATATATATATGCACATACATATACATA